GTTTACAAGCGTGTGGTGAACGGTCTGTATGATCCAATTATAGGCTTGACAGCCAAATATTATATTATTGTAATACAAGCTATAAAGAACGATGGTTTTCATTAGCCATATATTGCAAAGGTGAAAGAATTTCTTATTTGGCCACCGTTGGATTCCCATAAGCTCTTATCTTTTGAATAAGTCATCAAATTCCTTGTTTGTGGGGCATTACTCTCTTCTATCTATAAAGATGACATAGCCATAATAATATAATTATTCTTATATGAGTATTTCTTTCTCTTTATTTATTTAATACCTCGTTATCTTTGTATCAACTAATTTGTTATAAAAGAAAATGGTCAGTAAAATTAACTTAGACCTTAAAAAAAATGAAGAGAAGAAAATTCTTAACAAAAGTAAGATAATTTGAGTAATTATAAATATGAAAACAAAATTAAACATATTACAAAATATTCTTCTCTTCTCTTTTCTAATAATAGTGTATTCATTTTTATTTTTTATCATATTAAACAAATATTTAACTTACAAAAATTTAACTATCTTGTATATTATACAATAAATATTTTTTATTTCAAATTTTGTTTTAATCATTTAATTCCAACTAGAGTGCGTTTCATTCAAAACTTGCTTCAATTAAGAATATAAATCATAATTTTTTTTTTTTTTTTTTTTAAAGAGAACCCATAAAATATTCAATAACCATTTTTTTAGATAAGAAAGAACTAAAATCACACTATCAGTAAAAAAAATTATTCCTAATTCTATTCTGCATCTTATCTTTTGATGTGACATATTTTCAAACATGAACGAATTTGAATTTGGAGTCGGGTGAGTATTAAAGAGTCATAATCGACCGTACTTTGCAAGTAGCTTTGAGCATTTAAGAGGTCGAATGTTGAATTTTCTTAGAGGTGTAACCAAATAACCAGATGATTATTGTTGAATTTTCAAAGGATGCACCAAAAATTTCATTTATAAATAAATGAAACCATTAATTGATATAAAATCGTGATTATACAATTGTATCTCTTCTTCCCACCACTCTCACTAACACCCACCTTAAAGTGATCATTTTCACTAAAGGCTGTAAATTAAGGAGCAAAGCTGAAAGTCCAAAAGTGAACTTTTAGGATAGACAAAGCTATATTTGAGTAAGAAGAATCATGTTCCACGTGTCCGGGATGCCAGTGAGACACCAATGCAAGAAATCACTACCATCCGAAGTTCCTTTGATACTGTAGGGGGATCTGTGAGCATCATCTCTCAGATGGGAAAGAGCAGTTATTCCCAACTTCGAAACTTCTGTGCCTTCTACAACACTCTCAACAACTAGATCATTTGATCTATTATGCTCTACTATGCTTCCTCTTGATAACGGTGTGGTATTGACACAGCTATCTCCATTATTTCATTCCCCATTGCAGCAACGACTAGGAGACATGGTCCTGAAAAAAAAAATCTTGAGTCGAGGATTAGAAGAGAATTGTGAAACCAACCATTGCACAATACTCTACACAATAAAATTCTTACGTGTGTCAATTTCTTTTAAGTTACGAGTTCACTACGAATTCCATCCTTGTACATTAGTAAAATTTTGCTCGTTTCTAGTGCTCTTTTCTAATGATGTCCTATATTAAGTATCAACACATCAAACAGATGGAGAAATTTTCTCAGAAATGATGGCAGGCCGTCAAGATGCATGACTACATCAATGCCTAGGTCTGCAATGTTCATTGGTAATAATTTGCTTAGGCTTGATGACCAGCAGTGATGACCAGCAGTAGTATTGGTACTTGTAATTACCATAAATTTCTACTTATCTAGAGTTGCTACAACATCTCATGCTAAGCTCATATGCGGAATAACTCTTAAAAATAACATCATTTGGTACTTGTAATTACCAAAATTTCTACTTATCTAGAGTTGCTACAACATCTCATGCTAAGCTCATATGCCGAATAACACTTAAAAATAACATCATTTATAGAATAACTTTTCAAAAGAATAAAACAACTTCATCTTTAAAAACACCGCCATGGTTTTACATGTTCAACACATAATATTGAAAATGCAAATAAAAACAAATATGAAATGCAAGACAACCTATCCTAACCTAAATCTTGGAATTCAAATATGCTTCTATCATATGCACATGTCATGGTCTCTACTTGCGATGCCACTGTCAATCGTACATGGGCACGTTACCTTTACCTGAAAAATGATGTGTCACACGACTTGAGTATTTCAAAGAATACCAGTAAGTGACGCCACTAAAGGGGTCATGTAAAAATGCAAACACATGCAATCATACTCTAGAGACCTATCTCTATCTCATCCTAGGGGTGGCCTCCAGTTCGCACTAACTTTGGATGCGTAGTACTTCCCTATACACGACCCACACATGCGAGTGTGGATCCCCAGGTGGTTCGCACCCTCCTGGACCCATCCTCGCCGAGCTAGCTGTCTGTAGCGACGTCCATAGGTCAGTAGACCCCTGGGTGTCATGATCAACATGATCACCATCATCATCATAATATGCGCGTCAGCACTCATCATCATAAAAGGGGAAGTATCTCAATGCTTATGTGCACAAAACAAGGATGGTGTCTCTTTGTTTCTCATCTTAAAACATATTTCTGACACAACCCTAGTCTCATCTCTATATTAATTTCAGTAATACATGCTCATTAGATATTTATTTAATATCGTTACTCATGCTCTTTAGAATTGTGTCCTAGGCCAATTTCTCGACATGATGCACCATGACATTCATCACATACAACATTCTTGATATGAAAAACATCATCAAATTAAGGTAACAACCTCATGCATCACTATCATCATAAATCGTCATCATAATGCCATCAATACATCATAGTCATCAAGTATCATCATACATCATCATAAAGCTCATGTACGTCATAATACATTATCACATAATTAACATACGTCATCATACGTAATCATACGTCATAGCTCATACATCATACATTAGATTTCATAAAAGTTCTAGCCTATCCTATAGTAAGGCAACTTACTTGGTTGGTCATAGCCGGTGTTGTCCCTAAATTTATAACGTTAACTCCCCTTCCTCAAAAGCTGCTCTAAATGTCATCGGGGTTCAATTCCAATTGATTGTTTGTCGCTTTTTGTTCATATTTCACAATTTAATAATAATCCAATTGATAAATGTGAAATAAGGCACTAAAACAGCCTCAATTACCTTAATCGGGGTGCAAAGCAGGTTTGAGAGAGTCGGAACCTTAGAAATTTGGTTGAATTTGGAATTCCTGAGTTGAATAAGCCGAAGGAGTCGTGGGAAGCCGAGCCGAGTTGAGCCAAAATGCGAAGCCGAGGGAAAATCCATGAAAGTTTAAAAAAACCCATGAAAGTTTTTCCATTAATACCCTTGACTTTTATAAAGAAAATTTAAAAAAAAAAACTAAAAAAAACTTATCGTCTATATATGACTGAAACTATTTATGACACCTCCAAGATTATCTCATGTTTTAATGTTACTTTTGAAAGTTTCCTTTTTGAAATAGGTATTAACCCTAAGATTATTTTTGGAGTTTTTTTTTTTTATTTTTTAATTTAAGGTAAGGATATTAATGAAACATTTTGAAAGTGAAAGGTAGTTTTGAAATTTTTTTTTTAAAATTTAAGAGTACTTTTGGGGAAAAAAAATAGTAATAGTTTTTATCCAAAACTAATGGTAAGAATATTTTTTAATTTGAAAGTTTATGATGTTTCTTGAACTTTTTCTCCAATGTTTAATAGTATTATTAAAACTTTTAAAAGTTTTAGGACTATTTTTTTAGACAGACAGTAAAGTTCCATAGTATTTTTTTTTATATGAGATCCAAGAACATGATATACTGACATGAGACACAATTACGACAAGATTTCATGTCATTTCTTAAAAAATCTAACACAAAAATACAACAAAACATAAGTTATTTCTTCTTCTTTTCTTTCTCCTTCATAATTTCTTCATTCTTATATTTAACTTTTTTTTATATATAAAAAAATAGAAGTTAAACGTAAAAAAAAAAAAGGAGAAAAAAGGAAGAAGGAGAAAGAAAATCTTTAATTCAGGAAGCTTATCGAATACTCTTTGACTGATATAAAAAAGCATGAGAATAACTTATTCTCACCCATCTTTGAAACCATGTACTAAAGTTTATAGCTTTTATTTCTCTTTCTTGATCCTTTGGTCTAAACGACCCATAAAATGACAAAATTAAAGAGTCAATCGTAAGATTTGACGTCCTATGTCTTAAACTATTTTGAAGGGAGGTAAAGAAAGCGTTAGAATAACTTATTCTCATGTCCCTCCTCAACCTGTATTAAGAAATTGTTAGTACAATGGATATATTAGACATTTATAATCCAACATTTCGTATAGACATGTCTCTCTTAGCGCGAAACCTATAGCTTGGAATTTATTAGGTAGATAATATATTTCACGTAAAATTCACTTAAAAGAGAATAATCAATACCGTACCATATTCGAGAGAGAATAATTTATTTTTTTAATCTTTGAAAATTTAAAGAAAATTAAAATTAAAATATGGCACAAATGACATTTTCTTGACTCTTTGTTTTGTTTTTGCCAATGTAAAAAAAATAGAATCTTATATTTTTTTAGATACAATTTAAGATTACCTGTTTAACTGCCTCAATCTAAATTTCTATTCACAAATTTAATTATTATTTGTATGCAACTATTAATATGTAAGAAAAATACATGTTCAAAATGTTTGAAATATTGGTAATACACTAGTCTCGGTTGTTTGACTAAAACAATGCAACCATCATCCCGATTAAAGAATATGATTCCAAGCTATCTCCCAATAGAGGAATGCTCAATTAGTCTTTGTTGTAAGATTCGGCTATATCAATTTGAGTAGTGTTCTGCCACAACTATAAATATCGAACTCCAAAATATTCATGAGCAAAATAAGTTTGTTGAACCTATCTATCAAAGGTGTTCCAAAATGAGTGGTAAAGAAGAGTTCCCTTCAAATCTAGTTCCAATTAAGGATGTCAATGAAGAAGAAGTGCAAAAAGCTGGAAGGTTTGCAGTGAAACAATATAATGAGGAACATGGACATCATTTCATTTACAAGGGTGTGGTGAACGGTCTGTACGCTCCCATTATAGATGGGAATCCCAAATATTTTATTATTGTGATAGAAGCTGTAAATGACGATGGTTTTCTTTGGTCATATATTGCAAAGGTGAAGAGGATTCGTTTATGGCCGTCCGGGGAAATCCATATTCTCTCTTCTTTTGAAGAAGTCATCGAATTCCCTGTTCCCAAGTAGGAGTATAACTACTAGACTGGTATCTTTCCTTACAATAAATCCTCTCTCTACCTGTGTTTGTGGGGGCATTACTCTCTTCTATCTATAAAAATGGCATAGTCCTAATGAAATAAATATCCTTATATCAATATTTCTTTCTCTTTTTATTTAATACCTCTGTATCAACTAACTTGTTATAAAAAAGTTGTTCTTAAAATTAACTCCTTGAAAAAACATGAAGAAAATTCTTAACCTGGCAAGATAATTGGAATAATTATAAATACGAAAACAAAATTGTAAACATATTATAAAATATTCTTATCTTTTTTAATAGTAGGGTACTCATTTTTATTTTTTATCATATAAAACAAATATTTAATTCACAAAATTTAAACTATCTGGTATATTATACAATAAACATTTTATTATTTCAAATTTCGTTTGAGTCATTTAATTCCACTAATATAATAAAATATAGTGTGTTTTATTCCAAACTTTTTTGGATTAAGAGTATAATTGATCTTTTTTTTTTTTTTTTTTTTTTTTTTTTTTTTTTTTTTTTTTTTTTTTTTTTTT